GCATGTCGCAATCCAAGACACACGACGGGTGCTCCAAAAACCCGAAACTCAACTAGCAGTTCGGTTTTCGACGTTCCGGAATGAGGCAAAATTTTTCCTCAGGCGAGTCGATTGACTTGCCATTGCCTCCAATCTGTATAGCACTCTAACTTGTCTGAAGTTACATTGCCCTAATGTGCTGTTTCGGTTCCACAAATTCATGCCTGACTATATATTAGGGAATAACAGTGGAATAATGGATTTATCACAGATATACTAGCGAACGCTTAGCAGTTTTCCGTTGGTAAATAGTGAGAGCAAAAATATTTATATCAAAACAACCAAACAAAACGTGTAGCGGTACGCTTGTCGCAAATTTACGTAAACACAGCGTTTCGTTACTTCTCTCGTATCCAAGATTAGTGGATTAAATCATGTAATGCAGGTAATGTAATGTATCATCGTCGAATTTTGAATTCGGACAATGCAGAAGCGAATATGACAGAATTCGGAAGTAAGTTCTACGGTTGGGATACACTTCATGTGACGAACTTCCGGCGGCATTTCAACCGGCTATATTGTGTCGCTTACTACATATGGTGGCCTATCAGTGAGGTGTTGTGACCGAGTTTCAATAAGGTTTGGCATGGGTGGTTAGCATCATTGAGGATCTGATGCACCAATATGAGATCACCTCGCAGAAGACGATATTGTTCACTAAAACTCCTAGAGTCTTTAGTCTCAACTGGTAAGGGAGGTGGAGCAATCCCTACACATTTTTTCCTGCTCTCCGTTGTGGTTTTTCAAAAACAGTGATGTCATGTTTTTTGCCAGGCGTGCCGCACCTGAACGGCGGATTCAGCGCGTGGTCTCAAGTAAGCGTTGAGCATTTGCAGAAAGAGCGTAGGATAAAGCCGGTCAAACGCCCTCCGCAGTAAGCCTAAGTGTTGGCTGGCTTTTTCATTGCCATCTCAGCTTGCTTTGAGCAGCCGTGATCGTCCTGCGCGAGCACACCAATATCACTCTCATGACAAGCGGGTTCTCCCAGTCGATATTTGTAGGTGCTCTGGCGGTGTATGCTCATTTTTTCGCGCTTCCATAAGCATGTTCTGAGTCGACCACTCGTACGCCTTTTTTCAGAATCACATTGCGGTACTATTTGGTCGTCTACTCGTTTGGTTGCACTCCAAGTCTTGAGATCGTCCGCAAAGAGTAGAAATTTCGACGTCAACACTCCCGCGAGGTCGTTTATGAGCACAAAGAATGGCTGTGGTCCTGCTTTCGAGCTTTGAGGGACGCCACTGTGAGCGTCTATTGGGCCGGACGGGGTGCTATGAAATCGCATATTCAAACGACTTTGGAGTATGAATTAACGAACCTAGCCTAGGATAGGGTCACCGATCCCATAGCTCCGTAACTTGTGAAGAAGAATCTGGTGATCTAAGCGATCAGAAGCTTTAAAGGAATCAACGAAGGCTACGGAGTCCGTCCAACTCGCACGGGCTAACAGGAGGTTCGCGGTACATGAGCGGTTGTGGCTGAATCCATGCTGCGCCACTCATTCATTGACCCATGTTTTTACTCTTGTTGGTAATGCAGATATATTTCAGTTTTTTATTTCAACTCTTGGTGTAATCTCACTGCGTTGTAAAGATATTCCAATTTTTATTTCGTCATCCTAATGAGATACTTTGAAGAGACTGTTCTCTGAACACTAGAGAACCATCATCCCGGTCTGAAGCCGCCAACATGTTGTCAGTCATCTCAATTATCCCCAACAGCCTAGGCTTATTATCCAGTGTGTCGCCCAGACTGTTTGTGCGGTTTTTAAATTAATCTTCCAACTATTAAACTGCGAATTCCCTTAAACTAGGGTTGATCCTCTATGGGCAGTCTCTCGAAACTTCGGGAAATATGTGTGTTATAATAAACTGACGCTGCACGCTTAGGCACCTTCAAAGCTCAAAGTATTGTTGCAGGAATAGGCCGACAAGCCACCGGTTGTGTCTATTATCGAACAGCTACTGGGACTGGTAAATCGACTCACTTACCTTTGTAATTGTCACCTCCTGTAGTCATATCACTGGGGAGGTTGCCTCTCGTATCTGCAAGTCTTATAGCTTTCCAGAGGAAACGATAGAGTGTCATCTTGTTCGCCAAAAGTAAGCTGTATGACGCTGCAATCTGGATGGTATTATTGTAGGAATCAAAGACATGACTAATGTACACTCAAAGCATTATGCGATCAACTGTGTCTGATCACTGGCGCTTGTTGAGTGTTGCCCACGCCTGTTGGCTACATCGGACAGGTAGTGCTGAGGTCCGTCAGTTGGTGTTTCGCAAAAAAAATTTCTGATAGTTCACTGGAGTGCCTGTCAAACTCAAACCGACTACTTTGACCAGGTCATGTTCTCTGTATGCCCGTTGACTGCGTTCCTCGGTGTGCACCAAATTAGGCAAAACTGCGACGTGACCAGTCCATGACGTGGCATAACGGCATGAAAAAATTGAGTGAGAGACTTTGTCAGGCTGTTGTGTGTGCGTTCTTCATGGATGGCGCCGTCACGATGGTCCACACCAGTGGTTAGTGGCCTATCAGGCATGGCGGTCACACAGTCATTGACGTTCTTGCATTCAGTTTCTTACATCCAGCTGCCAGTGGTTGAACCCGATTAGCTTTACTCACTTCTTCCTTTTTTGTGTCTTGCTCGTGTTCTACCTCATTTTCGCACCAATGTTATTTACTGTTGTGCTGCCGACATGAGTCGTTGCAACTAACTCCATCGCACTTCGCTGCCCTGATCGTGGTTGTTTAACTTAACTGAACTACACTGAATACAGGTGGTTAACTATATCCGACAGTGTCATGTGCAACATCACCTCTTTCTTTGACCCACCGTGAGCCCTAAGGGATGGCCTGCCAGGAGTTGTACGCATGATCATCGTCCAGTGTAACATAAACACCTTAATTCCGACCGTTACTTGGTGTGTGTGTGCGTGTTTGTGTGTTGACCTTTGGGTGTGTTATGATAAACATCTTGGACACGAGGTGGTACGGTCGCATACACATCAAGTAGTTAACGTAGTCGGCTGATTTGATTTTGCACCTAAAGGCGTCCGCACCAGTGAACCACTCACTGGACACCATTCGCTATCATTAGCCTTCTAGGCACCAAGCTTCCAAATGACTGGATATCTTCGTTTGACAACTCCTTGCCGGGTTATCCACCTTAAGCGTCCACTTTGTCAGCTGAATTAATTCGCTCCTACACTGACAAATACGATGAGATTATTAGGGAGCTCGAAACAAGAGCACGCACCTGTCGCCATTAAAGCCGAATATTTTACTGATACTATCTATCTGATAATGTCACTCCTACCCAAGTACTTGGCTCAAATTGTCGTTTTTAATGGAATCGGAGTGCAGTGGAACTGATGTTCACATTTCCTTATGTGCAGAATGTGACCTCTTACTCACGAACTAACGAAGTTTTTGGAATCCGCACCGGCTACTTCGAGAAACAGAGAGGCGAAATACATTGCTTTCTCCACACTATCCATATCCCCTCTGGAGCAACGCGAGGATCGAATTAGACACATTTCTCTCTTATGTTTATAAAAGAATTCGGTAACCCATCTTTGGTGCAAGACATGCTAGGATCAAAGGAGTACAAAGTTTTCGCCACGTTGTTCAACTTGGTTGCGCCTTCTGCATGCAACAGCAATATGGAAGCTCCTATTTACAAAGTTACTTGTATCGCTGATTGTGATTGTTTAGGTTTCTTTCACAGTCTTGTCACACATCGAATCCTTTGTCATTAACACAAAAATGGTGGAATTGTTATTCTTGTGCTCTCTAAGATTAATTAGTGGATCCCGTTTGCTCCATGAGGTCATTCTTTTTGACCGCTTCGACTAAGGCTAGTGTTAGGATATGCTGTGGACACTTTCCCCCACATTCAGTTGAATGTACTGTCTCCCTCCTCCATCCTCTTATATTTGGCTGCTTCTGTGGATACATCATCGCAGCGAAACTAAACCTTAATGTGGTACCATGACTTGGGTGCCTCGGCCATCCATTAAGCAATGTTAGATGATATTTTATGTATTTTATGAGCCACTCGTATCAACTTGGAAGCCAGACAAGCTCAGTCTCCGGGTCTTCTAGGTTAGCAGTTGGAACGAGAGTGGCTCCCTGCTACCACCTTGCGGTCCCTATTTTGAGTCAAAGCTTTTAGTTGTGAAGTCTATTCGTTCTTCTGTTTTGGCATGTTTTAACTAACTGTATCCTCCCTGCACAACAAGATGAATACACTTTCAAACGGTTTCTTAATGCCCACGTCGTCGCAGTAGAAAGTCAACGATGCCCCATCAGCATTGGGTTTGGGGTGAGGGTGCTACTTTTCATGCCTTTCCGTTTTCTGAATCCTCCTCCTCCCTCACTTTTACATCACTTTTATCTCCGTTTTTCAACCCCCGGTTCTTGACTTTCCTTTACTTTGCTTTAATATACCTTTGCTTGCTGGTTTCTACTCCTGCTGCCACTGAGAGTCGTTCATGCCCTATCAGCAAGTCCATACCCAACCAAGCACAAAAATGCAATTCATCCGCTGTCATATGGAGCTATCGATTCTCTCTAATGCTGGCATGTCTCAACGTGCACACTTTTTGCAGCTCGACCAGCAGACAGCGGATTCCTGAACATCAGACTCTATCGATCGGCATCTGCGGTTTATCGGAAACCCACCTGCAACATTCGATCTCCGCACTTACCATCATCATGCTTCGCCTAAGGCCAATAGACTACCAACCTCAGCTTGTTATGTATTCCTCAACTAACACCGTAACGTTTCGCGCAGTGTTGCACAGAAGCTGTTTTTTTTCAGGGCTGTTGTCTGTTTTACAACGCTTCGTTTAACATAGCATACAGCTAACTACTGTTTGTGCCGTTAGTTACATACTTCCCCATTCTCACTTTCATGTTCTGACTGCTTTTCATAACTTCTCCCTTCTAACTGCAGGTCTCCTCGTCATGTACAGTCTGAGACGCGACTGATCCCACAAATTGGATGTACATTTGTTTCCATACTTGGCGCAATCCAAATCTGACCATTAACCACTCTACGTTGCCTTCTGGAAGTTTGGTTATGACATAAATGTTCACCTACACCTTCGTAGCATTTTGTGACCCCCTCGTTTGCTGTTTGCGTGCTTTATATTACTCCTCCCGTCATTTTGTGGGACCTCCCACATTTACCTATGTTACTTTTCGTGAGATTCTGATGCTTTTGTGTTTTTTTGAATAACTTTTTCGTTTCTTATCCGACACAATGTATTTTCTTGTGAACCTTTTGTACAGTCGACGTATCCTCTTTTAACATTTCAATTCAAATCGATCCCTTGATTTCCTTCTCTACACATTCACTTTGTATACTTCTACACCGTGTCTGCGAGCACTCCATTTTTATCGCGTTGCTGCTCAGATTGCGCAAACTTTATCTCATCTTCTATTGTGCTGGGCTCACATGGGTATTCTCTGATCACCCTACAGAAAAAGTTCACGAATGTATCAGTTTAAAACCCACTGATCGGTCGGAAGCCTTGTCTAAGTATAGTAACATCCTCGCATAGGATTGCACTTACGCTTTGACGATCCGGGTCTTTCGCCATCCAACTGAGAATCGATTGTGCACTATGACATGTCCACAACAGAGTAGTTTGATATTTCATATACTTCCAACAGAGTTGGAAATTTGGGAGTTCAGTCACAGAGCGAAATTTTCGGTCATCTTTTTCAATTGATTGGTGAGATTAACCATAGTGGATCGTCATAAAAGCTTTACCCCTTACCGGATGATGTGGTTTTCATCCTTCTTCATTGGGCCGCACAAAATAGTATGTATCAGTAGTTTATCCCTGGGACACTTAATCCTTCTATTCCCTGGGCCACAATATGATCTAGTATCCAGCTCAATACGTGTCTCATGACTGTCGGGTTTGCTGATCATTACTACACACCAACTTGAGTGAATCCCTGGAAGTATCCCATGTGCCACGCTGCCATTGCTCCGTGCTACACTGCTGAATAAAGGTAGACACCACACATTGCCGCATATTGAAAGACTATTTGATTCATGGTCCAGTGTAGCAACCGCTGCTCTCACACTCAAACCCCTGTTTCACCATACCCACAGGCACGATAACAGGCGACTCGCTCGGAACGAGTTCACCACACTTCGTGGGTTGTTGACGCCTTTATGGGCTCAAATCACTATGTTTCTCACGTGTTAAACGAGTTCGTCATAAATAATGCATTCTCATTTTGCTGTATGAATATTGGCTCAGTTTGCAGTGCAGATTTGGCTTACATACCGTCCTTGTCGGGTTCTCAGATAATACCAATAAGTGTGACATCCTATCTCTTGATATTCAGTCCGCACTGGTAGGTTGTGAAGCCGTTGCATGTGATCTGGACTTGTGCTCTGGGCCTCGCTGTTTTTAATCATCCCATAGTACGTTTTGTGTTGATCACCGAGTACTTGAGTGGCTCGATTGAGTTGACCACCTAAGTTTTACACCACTTAATATCCTACACTTGAATAGCCTTAATTCAATGAGGGGAGGTTTTTCTAGGAGTGTCCCCTGGAGACAATCTCGACAAAAGACAACTGTTTGCTGTTCTGAGCTGAAACAATGAATGAACCGCAAGTGCAGAACAAGGAGTGGGACTCAGCAAACCCCTAACACAAAAGACGCTCTGTATCTTCTCCGGAGCTAGATCCGATATAGAAAACGTGTCTGTCTAATGAAAGCATTTGAGTGACGGTGTACGTTGCATTGATGGATGGGAATACATTGGGTGCTAGTCGTGTTCCATGTGTCTACGATCGAGGATAGACCGTCCTTGCCCACACCTCAAAGGATCTTCCTTCAGACACGAAGCAAACTTCAACTGAACGACATGTCCGGCAGTAGTCCATGGGTCTAGTTAATTTTGTGAGTTGCTTCACTTGTGCAGTGTGTTTTTGAATTTCATTATCGCTCTATCTTAACTACCCCGAGAGCAAATGTTTAGTCATGTTTACCTTCACTCAGCCCTTATATGAGACCACTGTTCTGGTACAGATTAAATTCATTAATATCTAAAAGTTGCCACTACTTTGAATTACGACAGTACAGACAGCAAGATCAACACATAGAACTTTATCAGGTCCGTTGTCCAACGTTGATACAATTTTCATTCTCCTCTGCTGTTGTGATACTAGATAGTGTAAGCCACTATTCGTCATCACAAATTCAGGGAGCATAGAAAATTTACACGAACATTGAACTTCCTTTTCCGGTTGTCCATTCCCCCATCTAACGGTACGCCAAGCACCTGTGTCGCCTTTCCTACGCCATGCTAACGTCATACTCGTTACTTTGTACTTCTATTTGCATGGATGGTATGTGTACATCAGTGTCTACCAATGGCCCACAGAGGTTACCACAACTTAAGCTAAACTTGTTTAAAATACTATATGTCTCAGGTTCTACTAGCGGCATTAACAGTTCCCATTCAGACTTTTGCGTTGACAGCTATCACAAAATAGAGGTCAAGAAACAGGACTGACACCGTCAAGCTTCTCGCTTTTCCGTTAACTAACGTGTTTGATTACACAAGCTCAGCGAGCAATCTAACACTCTCACAGAAGGTATGTTTTGAAAAAACCGTAGCATGCGACTTCAGGATCCTCGACAAGTACATTCATGCACTTTTGAGGCACTCAACTCAACTACATCATCAGCAAACAAGCGCCAAGTGCTTGAAATTAGGACCTTTAACTTTTGGTTCCTTTGCCCGATCCACAACACTCGTGGTCAGACTGTACTTGATATTTCGTTTTCACAACTGTTGATCGTGGTATGGCACACCATGACCACGTTGGTTTTCACTGTTTTGGTAGCTGTAAACTGTCCTGGCTGTGTTTGAACTAGTGCCCTCTATTTAGGCATAGGTGCGCATGTGAACAGTTTAGTTTCTGTTACACTAATTTTCAATAGAATTGAGAATGTCTTCTGATTTCACTTAAGGACGGCGAATGAAGTGTGCAGTGGGACCGGATTTGAGTAAATATCACGTGATATCAGGGGCAGCCCCGCTACTCAACTGTCTCAGGGTTTACTATTATCAAATGTTACCGCAACGAATCATGGTGTGCTCGACGACTCCGACATCTTAACTTCGCTCCATTCTGTAACTATCTCCACAGCTACAATGAAATAGTCTGAACAATGCAGTGTTTTCGGGCGGGCAACACCCCATTTCCATTCGAATGCAGCACGTACTTATTCCCCGTCCGTGTCCTTACTGAATGCATCAATAACAAAAACATGCATATCCATTTATAAATCCAAATAAGAATATCAGAAGACGAAGATTGTATGGTGATACTGTCAGTTCGTGTATACTCGTCGGCCATGCACATGCATTTACCAACGGCTGCAAAACAATACCACATGAAATCAAGTAATAGTCAACTGTTTTCCGATTGTTGCCTTTCACCCTACCGCGGTAGGCTTAATGTCACTATCAGCTCTTTTTGGGACACAGAGTGGTGGGCGTTGCCGATTGATGACAATGGACGCGAGTAGCATGAGTACGTGAGGCCCTTGACTAGGCATGAGGGTTTACATGATGATTGGTGCTCATTAAATACTTCGTAACTGCACAGTCAACTTTGTCTTTCAATTCACCGGGTGCAACCGTCGTATGTCTCATCCGTTTGTGGAGCCACTTTGGTATGTGTTTATTGACTCAAACATCTAGGTTTCGATCAGTGCGCTCAAGCTAACTCTCTTCACAGCTACATGTGAATTTGTATGAGTAGTGGGACGTGCACTGCTTTGACACCGGTGTCTTCACTGAACAATTAAGCAGTGGTTTTGTGGTCACGAGCGAGCGTAGCTCTGTTGCACTGCACGTCTTTTCCGTTGAGGTACCTATTCTTTTGGCGGTGACTTTCATGAGGTGGCCACCTTTCAAATGCAACTCAGTGAAAACCGGTTTTGTACCCGTTATCTCTCGATCACGTTCCATCGACCGACGAAAGCGCTTCATGAATTTCGATGGATAGCCTTTAGATAGCAGCACGTCAAACAGCAGTACTTCTCTTCTTCCAGTATGTATGTGGTGCAAATCATTTGAGCTCAATGGAACAAATTTCGAAGTTGGAAGCACTTGTGACCGATTAGCGAGCAACTCCTAGAGTGTAAGTATTGAGCTGTCCAAGTCGCCTTCCGGTATACTGTCCTTTGGTCGAGCCATCTGGTCGTCGTGTGAGCAGTATGTCTAAGTATGGGAGACAGCCGTCGTGTTCAGTTTCACAGGTCACAGTATGATTCTGATGCACACCATTGATCGTTCTGGTTGCAAGTACAGTGTCTTTATTTGAATCCATGACTACCAATATATCATCGACGTAGAGCTTTTGTAAAGTTGCGGACTTGATGATGTATAGATTCCACTCACTCATACCCATGAGTACGTTCGCCAGCAAGGGTCCTAAAGGGCTGTCCATAGATACACCTTCAGTCTGTTGATACGCTTTTCCTCGAAAGTATCAGTTGCCATCTTTTGTGCGCAGTAGGAGCATAATTTTCAATATGTCCGCTGGGAGCCGTAATCGAAGGTTGTTTTTCATGGTCAACTCACATTGGTAGTAGATGGTCTCGTTCAACGGAACCTTGGTGAAAAGCGACTGAAGGTAAGGGAAGCACATGCGGTTGTGGACTTATTTTTTGTGTCTTCTAATTGGGTAAGTACTCCGAAAGTGTTTGGCAGAGTATGTTTTACTAAGGATCTTCCCACGGATTCGAGCATGCAAATCAGTCATTTAGCATTGACATGTTACGACGAATTTACTATGGAGGTTATTAGTCGCATAAATAGTCCTGTTTCATGTACATTTGTTAAACCATACATCTAGCGAGTGTGCATGCCCGCTAGCATTAGCATTTCATATACATCATCTGAGATGGAACCATATGGCAATAACGTTTGTAATTCACGATACAGTTGCTTCTGAACCAATTGGACTTTGTCGTAGGTTGTATATGGCTTGAGTTTCATGGTGTCTGACAGTATTTTCCCGTCCAGAGTCAATAATCTGACCTGTCGAGAATGACCATTCCGAAACCCTTATCGGGCTTTGAAAAGACCACTTCTTTCATACGTTCCAGCTCACGGAGCGCTTTATAAGGATCAGCAGTGAGGCACATTCCCTGCAGTATTGCGGCTTTGAAAAATTAGGTAAACACCTGACCACGCGTCATCGGACAGAGCTTAGATCAGCATTCGCACTAATGTTATATCACCCTAATCCCCGCTTCCTCTGTTTCGCCGAGGCCGTCGCGACAAGCCGGCCGTGTGTGTTCAAAACGATTATTTGTCAGCTTAAGACTGCCGTTGACATAGGGGTGGAACTTCCATCATACATTTCGCACCTCATACTTATTTGGTCACAACCATAGCTAAGTATATAGTTACATACCAGTTATTATTAATGGTACTGAGTAGACAGTACGAAATGCATGCATCTACCAGCTTTCGCTTTCTTGCCGTGCTTGTCAAGTTTCTAAAGGGAACTAACTGCTTCAAACTTTTGCTAGTGTGTTTTTAAACCTCGCGTCATTATCGGTCGACGTTGGAGTCAAGGAAGCAACTTGGCTACATAGATTCTCGTAGTTTGCGTCAACGGAATCCTTATGTATCTGACGAGGTGCTGTTTTGAAGCCAGGACCGAAAG